TCTCTGGGCCGCGAGTCTTCGGCTGCAGCCTCGGCCGCTCGTCCACAGCTCACACTCGGGTCGCTGAAGCTGCCCATCCTCTCCCAGGGACAGCAGCCAGGCGCTCCGGGATGGCGCTTCGGGGGCCTCTCGGGCCGCGCAAAGTTCGCGGGAGGCGAGAGATGATGCCGCAGCAAGTTGGCTTCGTGTGCGCGGTGCTGACCCTGGTGTGCTGTGCGTCCGGGCTCTTTGGAAGCTTGGGTAGGTACCCGCGCGGGCCCACCCCGGGAGTTGGGGGGCTTGCGCTGGGAGCCCGCGAGGCTGCCCCGGGATGCGTCCCTCCTTCCCCGTCGGGTTGGTCCCAAGGGTTCATCCAGTCCCCCCTCCCCCAGCCCCGGCAGGTAGGGCGCTCCCAGGAGGTCTGGTACCCACGCTCGGAGCTGTGGCGCCTGTTCCCCTGAGCTGCGCGGCCCGGGGGGACGCAGGACGCTGCCGCCGGTCTGTGTTACTAAGGCGAAAGCTCGAGCCGCTGGCCCCTGGCGCTAGAGTTCTGTCCCTGGAGAGCCCCGGGGAATGGGCAGCGCTGCGGTGGATCCTCTGGGCTTGGGGCAGACGAAAACTGAGTAGCCCGCCTTCGCGTTCTGGCGAGCGGGAAAGCATTGTGCCGGCGCGGTTCGCGGAAACCCAGATGGAGAGGCTGGGAGCTGTGTCTCAGCCTTCGCTTGCCCCTGCCCAGGTCCAGATGGGTGCCCTGGCGTCCTGACACGTCCTCTAAGCCCTAAAGATGGGAGGTTGCTGCCGTGTTTCCGCAACGCTTCTCTTACCTCCTCTACGTGCCCACGGGGTGGTGTTGGTGGGGTGATCGGTGCACGCTGTGTCTGGAGCCACGGTCTGTGCTCCTCCATCCAAAGAGGGTCCCAGGGACTTGCTTAGTGTATGGTCATTTGAGTTGGCAAGAAGAAACTTACAAAGATGATCTGGGGCTTTTTATGGGGAGGGGGGCAGGGTACTATGAACTCAGGAGGAGTCCTCAGAAGGCATTTAGTTGGTTGACGTTGGTATTTTCAGATGGATTCTACAGACCATTTAGTTCTGCACATTTTAAAACGTAAAAGAAATGCAGGTGATTTGGCAATCTGGGCATAGAGGCAAAGCCAAAAGGGACGTTTCGAGAGGATTTATAATGATAAGTAAGAATCAAATGGAACTTGATTAAATTTAAAAACATACTACCTGTCAAAACTCAAACTTTGTGGCTTGAGAATATAAGCTTAAAAAGTGACTCACTCCAGCGGAAATCCAGAAAGATTATTTGAATATCTCAATGCTGGATGCTTTTGCAGTCGGGCAAGTTGGTGTGTTTCCCCCCTTCAATTATACACCAGAAATAACGAAATGCCTAGAGGCTCTTAGATGTCAGCACTACAGAGCAGAAATCATTATCAGCAGAAGCAGTGTGCACCAGAGAGGTAAATGAATACCCTGAAGGTCTTCGGTGAGGAGCTTCTATTCGCTAGACCAGGCACTCCCTTTCAGAGTTTGTGCTTGGTCCCCCCATCCACGCCAGTGATCCCCCTCCTCACTCTGTATGGTCCTTGAACTAGCAGCATCAGTATCACCTGGGAGCTTGTTAGTGCAGAATTCAGGTCCCAGTCCAGATCTACTGAGTCAGAATCTGCATTTTAACAAGGTCCCTGGGCGATTGTGTGCACATTCAAGGACAAGAAACCGGTCTATACTCCATCAACCATCTCCACTTGCCTGCTGACTTACTACCCCTCTGTAGTTGCTCCAGAGGAGGGATTCCTAAGCATGGGTGCTGGGTGAGAGCTTAATGGTCAACCTTCCTGGCACCTGTGAGCAGCCTGAGGCTGGTGCCATCTTGGCCAAGGTCATGTCACGTGCAGACTAGAAACAATGAGCTGAATCTAGGAAACAGATGACTGTGTATAATATAAGCGGGTGAGACTGTGCTTCTAGCCTTTGTGACACTCCCTACCGGTGACTGTAAATCAAACAGGGCCGCCGCTGGCATTGCTAGACACATATGAGGCCACTGTGAGAACACAGGCCCACCTTGACCTCGTGGTGTCTGTGCCTTGTTTTTCCACCCAGGGCACAAAACAGCGTCTGCCAGCAAACATGTTCTACCAGACACGTGGCGAAATAGAAAGCTGATGGCACCCATGAACGGGACTCAGACAGCCAAGAACTGCACAGATCCTGGTAAGAAATCGAGTCTCCCCGCCACCCCCCCCGACCCCGCGCCGCGCTCCCTGAGCACGTGGCCTGGAGCCCGTGCCTAGGTGGGCAGTTGCAGCCAGAGTGGTGGTTCACGAACCGGAGTGGGCAAGGGGAGCTAGAAGGCCTTGAGAGGTAATGAGCAGGTGCTCATCAGCGGTGCTGCCAGGCAACTCAAGTACTTTCTTTTGCCCAACAAGGTCATAGTCAAAAGTTTTAAAATTTCATTGTCTTCTCACAATGCTTCTACAGGCAGAGTGTTTTCCTTCTCCTGAGGCCTGTCGGCTGGGGTGGGGGTGGTTCCTGTTGCTCACAGGGCCCAGCTGATGGCACTCTAGGGGTAGGAGAGCCACGCTGGCAGGTGGCTCTTTGGGCCGGCCCAGCTGGGTCTCTGCACACGGCCACAGCAGCAGGGCCCCTTCTCTGCAGTGGGAGCCCGTGGGGTGTCCTTGCAGCCGGGAAATGGCTCCGCTTGCCTGGAAGCAGCTTCAGTGTCTCTTGGCATCATCCTGAGGGAGTCATGGGGACCAGAGGCTACATCATCTGACCTCCTGCCACAGGCAGGTCTGGCTTTAATGGGTGAAGGAGGGTGCCAGGGTGGTGCCAGCATGCAGTGGGGCAAACGGAAGCTGCCAGCCTCACGTCAGGCAGCCCTGCACCAGCCCTGGCCCACGTGGAGATCTCTGTGAGAAGGATCCAGAGGGAGAGTGTATTTGAAACCCTTTGGGAACAATGCAGTTTTGTTACAGAGAAGTATTTTACTGTAGATGGGGACTGCTTAGCTTCCAGCTGAATTCCTGTCAATCACAGCTCCTTTCTTAGGTCTCTCATTTTTTGCCTGTAAAATGGGTGGGGTAGTCCTGGCCAACTCCAGGGTTATTGGGAGACTCTGGTACCGCCCTGAATGGGGCCATGTGTGAAAGGAAACAGAGACCCCCAGCAGCAGAGCAGGGTTGAAGGTGGTGTTCATGTGTCTTACTTTCTTCCGGAGGTCTCATCCGCCATAATCTCAGCCTGGAACACAGGCTGGTGGGGCTGCAGTGTGTGGCTGGTGCCAGGTGCTTGAGGCTAGAGCCTTCCCTCAGAGCTTGTTTCCCACGATACTCACTTCCACTTCCCTTCCCTCCAGACGCCTTCTGAGAGGTACTCTGGGGTCTTGGAAGGGAGGCCAGGGCAGGCCTACAGAGAAGCAGCTGGGTTCCCTTCAAACTTTGGGGCACTTGTGTCTGGGAGTCCATCTGCCCTGGCGAGCCTGCCGTGCGTGGTTGTCACTGGAACCGCAACCCCCAGCACACCTTTCATCAGCCAGAACATGGGGATGCCTTTGCTGACCATCAGTGTGCATGAGGCCCGGACTAATGTTAGGGTCCCTCCGAGGACTCCTTAGTCCTCAGATGCTAGAATTTGCACTACTTGCAGGGGGAATATTAGTGCATTTTGGCCTAACTTGCTGGCGCCCCTCTCGGGCTCACCAGAGACAGCTTGGAAAGCAGAACAGGCAGATCAATGGAAGTACACTGCTGAGGGGAGCAGTGGGGGGACAGGAGAGGTCTGCTGCGCCATGTGGGTCACTTCCCTGGCTGGGGATCGAACTCATGCTGAAGTGGCTGTGGCTGTGGCCAGCCTCCTAATGCTGTGCCTGACCTGTTGCACCACCGGGGAGGACCCTCCTCCCGCAGCTTCTATGGCATCTAGTCTGGGTATGTGAGCTTGGACAGCGCCCTGCTCCTTAGGACAGTGCTTTCCCATGCCGGTTGCTTCACTGCATCCGCAGGGTCTGGCCAGTGTCCAAAGTCCCCACCTACTAAGGAGCAGTCAGTCCTATTTGGCAGGAATCTGGCCTTGCCCCGCCCCCACCCTCACTGAGAGAGGAAGCAAGATCTTCGCAGTAGTAAGTTCACTTGCCGCTGCTCCCAAGCACTCAGGAAATGTCAGTTGGAAGTGTGTTTTGATTATTGAACAGTTTAATCCTTAGTGTTTTCTGCATCAAACAATCAAATGAAGAACACATTTAGTTTCCTAAGAAGTTTAGTGACCCCTCAAAGCCCTTTGCCCGCAGGAGTGTCCTTGGGGTGCTGGATCCAGACCCACGCCCTCTGTGCTCCCCTGCACCTGCCCAGCTCCACCCAGCCTAGGAGGGGCTGAGCACACACTTTCAGGATCCCCTTGGGGTCTGAGCCCCACCCCCCACTCTGTTTCATTTCACTTCCTAGCACAGATGAGCAGTGGTGTCCAGCCCTGGGGGAGGGAGCATGTGTAGGACGGGTCCTTCCTACCGGTAGTATCAGGTGACCAGGGAAGAGACAGTTTGATGCAGGGTGGCACAGTCGTGCCCCCCTACCCCCAGCAGCCCCACACTGCAGGGCAGGAAAACTCCCCGAGCTGGGGTTAGTGAACAGAGGCTTGGTTGACTCCATCTGAAGACATGAGAATGACGGTTAAGGAGGGTGTCACCTCAGCAGCTCTGTCTCTGCGCTGCCCTCCCCTGTGTTGAGGTTCTCATCGCTGTACCCCCCATGTCCATCCAGACCTAAGCGCTGGGACAGAGCACCCTGTGCTGATCTGCTTCTGCAGACACCCCAGTTGTCCTGCCTGTTGAGTCATTCAGACCCCTAAGCCGATTGACTGGGCTGAGGAAGTGTCGGGCTCACCCCTGGGTCACAGCTCTGCCTGGGTCACAAGACACCCCCCCCCCGCCCCGGAGTGAGTCAGGGTGGGCGGCATCAGAGGAGCAGCCTTCATTTCTTTAAGACTGTTCATCATGGGGGTCTGTCCTGGGGTAGAGGGGGCGTGCTCCCACTGGGGGTCCTGGAGGGGGCAGAGGTGGCTCGAAGGCTGCTGCATCCTTCCCCGCAGGGAACTGCCCACAGAGAACGACTGGGGGGGTTGCTGCCTCCCCTGGAGCTTCCACTCAGCTTCCATTTTTACCAGCTGGCGGCCCCAACCTGGTCTTTTAGGGATACGGTGAGATGAACCTGCCCGCAGCCCTGCCCACATCAGACGTTCAAGAGTGGCCAGTTCTTGGCCACCAGGTGCCCAGGTGTGTCCTACTGACTGGACATATCTTCCCCTCCCTGGGGAAAGAGTGATTTCCTCCCCGAAAAATACGAACTGAGTCCTGCTCAGGGTCTCCTGAGACTTGGCGTGGAGAATGGAACTGTGTCTGGGGTCACTCCCCTGATCTTGGTGGTGGTCTCAGCTCATGTTTCAGCTTCAGGGCTCCCTCTTCACCCCATCACGTGACGTGACCTTACGTCATCGCTTTTATGACAATGACTTACCATCATTTGTCTCCCCTTGGCTACTGGGCTCACTGCTCTGTGCTCAAAGAGTGATGCTTAACGCTGGTGACACGTTGGGATCACCTGAATTACCTTAAACATGCCCTGTAGTGTCTGATTTTATTGATCTGGAATACGGCCCAGAAATCAGTCCTTTAAATGTTCCCCAGGCACTTTAAACTGAAGCCAGAGTGGAGGCTCGCCAGGTCGGGCGCTGGACCTAGGAACTTGTCAGCAGCGTGGGGCCTCAGACCCACCCAGACCTCCTACTGGATCCGAACCTGCAACCTAGTGATACCCTCGGGCAGGTCACCCACACCCAAAGGCTGAGCGGTTCTGGCCAGAGCTCTGCCTGCCACTCCTGGCAGGCAGGACTTCAGTACACATTTGAATGCTGAATGAAAGCTGAGACTTGAACATAGCAGTTTTTTTTCCTCCTGAAAACCAGTTTGGTTTCTTTTTCTCAGTGTAGGGAGGGTAAAAGAAATCTGCTTCATTTCTGACTACTAATGTCTACAAAATAGCCACAAGGTTATCTTCCCCCAACGGTCTGGGCCTCTAAGCCTCAGATCTTTATTTCATGGCCTGTGCAGAGCCCTGTGCAAAAGGCAGGGAATAAGAAATGAGAGGCCTGGCTGAGCGTCCCTTAACAAGGTCTGAGCTTGGCTGCCATAACTAAATACCACAGACGGTGCGGCTTAAAGGACAGACATTTATTTCCCGAGTGCTGGAGAAGGGGCAGTCTGAGGTCCAGGTGAGGGCCAGCTCTGCTCCAGGTGAGGCCTGCTTCCTGGCTTGCGGATGGCTGCTTCTCACAGTGTGTACATGGGTGAGAGACAGCATGATGCTCTTATAAGGGCACTAAGCCCATTGTGGGACCCCACCCTGTTGATGTCATCTAAACCTAATGACTTCCTGGACATCCCACTTCCAAAAACACAGATACCTGGGCTAGCTCCAGCCCTTGAACACCCTTGAACACAGAACGCACAGTGGCCAATATCTGTCCGGAGTTAGGTGAGCTCTAGAGTCATGCCTTGCCAGCTCACCCATGGCAGGTCTCTTGCCACGGCAGCAGAAAGGGGGAAGTCTGGGTTGCTTTTTACAACCAATGTGTGTGCTTCCGTTTTTTCTTCTGTAAAATGGGGGTGGTAATTGCACCCATCTTACAGCGTTGTTAGAATTAAATGAGTGGATTCATTCAGTGCTTATACACACACACACACACACACACGTGCTTGGCACGTGATACCTGTTTGCACGTTGGCTTCCATTTTTATCTTATCTGTTTAGCTCAGAGATAACGCAACGCTGCGGGATAGTAGCGTTGAACAGCTTGAACAGCTGTGCCAATGACAGGTTAAGAAATAAATATCTTTTGCTTCTCTGGGAGTCAGTTGTTTTAATTTTTATTTTTGAAGATTTAGGATGCTCGAGGGTGGCTTGTCGGACTGTTTCTTGTCACTTGTATTCCTTTCCATTTTGGCTTTTTAGCTGGGGTGGCCATGACCTCCCCTGTGCTTACCTGCCTCCTCCCCCCCCTCCCCGAGAGCCAGTAAGTGGCACGTGTCACCCTGTTTGTCGGGGTTCCCAACATCCTAGCGCTGCTGTTTAGAAAGGAGAGGGAGGCTCTTACCTCCCTGGTGAATTTGGAGGGATTTTCTTTGTCGTGTTTGGTCTTCAATTTTCATTTATGTCTTAGGA